ACTGGCCTTGCCCTGTAGTCAGATTGATGAATATCTTAAATACCACCACAGAATCTTCATGCAGCAACTTATGGAAACAGAGGTAGAGACCCTCAGCAGATCACTGGTCTGAGCTTCCAAAGTCCAGTTGAAGAGTGGGAGTAGCAAGAACATGAGCAAAGAGATCAAGACCATGATGTGGACATGTTTACCTGAGCAAATGAGAGCTTACCAACTCCAGCTGGATAAGGAAGGAAACAGCATAGGTCCAGACTAGTCCCTCTGAATGTAGATGACAGTTCTCTGGCTGGGGGAGACTGTGGGGCCACTGGTGGTGACACCAGGACTTATAGCTGCTTCTTTTACTGGCTTTTAGAGAACCTATTTTCTTTGGATGGATACCCTGCTCTGCCTAGATATAGTAAGGAGGGTGTTGGACCTTCCCCAAAACAATGTGCCTTACCCTCTCTGAGAAGTGGATGGAAATTGGGGTGGTGGGATCGGTGGAGGGAATGGGAGAAGGGGAGAGACGGGAAACTGAGATTGTTATGTAAAATGAAAAGAGATACTTTGTTTTATTTTTAGAAAGGAAAAATAAAATACATTAAAAAATAAAAATAGATTCAGTAGGGAGCAGGGCCTTGGCTGCCATACAAGCCTACAGTGGCTTGTTTGGGGCCAAGAAAAGATATTTAAGGCCCAGAAGCTAGTCAGTAGGTCTTTCCAGGAGAAGTACTGCTTAGAGTTTCACCCAGGCAAACAAGGCATCCTTGGCACGCTGGAGGAATCCAATCTGGGGGACAGCACTGTGGCCTGGGAATCCCAGCACACAAGGACTGTCTGGCAGGCCAGACAAAAGGAGACCCTTATAGGAATCCTTACCCAAATTTCAGGGACAGGCAGGAATTGGCCAGGGAAATGGGGTTGCCTGAGTACCACTTCCGGGTGTGGTTTCAGAACTGCAGCACTTGCAGAGGGGCAGTGAGGAAGCTAGTGTCTAGGCAAAAATCTGACGTGCCTGTACCAAGGCAAAGAGCACCCTCACCTCTCAGATCACAGAAAGCTTCGCCCTCAAATCAGCTTGTCACAGTTGATCCTGGTACAAGCTTTTGATTTCCGGGCTTCCATGCCTCGAATGAGCTCGCCAGAAGGACTGTTTTACCCGAAGACATGATCCACATATGGTTTCAGAACAGAAGAGCACACCACTATAGCACTGGCGGGGGCAGAGTTCGAGGTCAAATCTCTCTGGCATCATCTATGAAGAAGGGAGGCAGGGAGCCTGAACTTGGCCAGGACAGCTTGTTGACAGGTTCCTGCAGGAGACAGGGGTGTATAGACTTTGACCCAGACCTCTCCACCAAACTTCTCCAGAGTCTCCTTGCATAAGCAGCACAGACCTCTCTGAACCAGACCACCCAGAGCTCCACGAAGTGGCCTTGAGCATCTGTCCTTAGTTGTTCTTTCACTAAGGGCTGACAGAAACTCAAAGCTGACAAGCAGGCACAGGTCACACTAGACCTGGATGACCAAGGGGGGCAGAGAGACCAAACACTTGAGACCTCTCTGGGCGAAGAGGAATATCAAGAACTGCTGGACCTGCTCAAGGCTTCATGGTCTCATTTGGGTGCTCTTGCCCAGAGGGTAAGACTCTTACAGAAAACACCTACCAGGGACAATTTGATCCCTGGCTTTGTGCATGACAGCCATTAATAGGAATAAACACAAAACTGTAAACAGAACTCTTCTGGCTCCCAAACTGAACAGTTCTCCAGAACCACATGGGGGACTTCAAGGCCTTCCCATGAGTCCCAGGACTAGGAAATTCCCTGTGAAATGGTGTCTTCTCAAGACTAGAGGGAAATTTCACTGGTAATACCTCAGCTACAAGCCAGACTGAGTAAAGCCTCAACAGTTGAAAGACCTCTATGAAAAGAACTTTAAGCGTTCGAAGAAAGAAATTGAAGAAGATGTAAGAAAATGGAGAATTCTCATATGCTTTTGGATAAGTAGGATAAACAGAATAAAAATGGCAATCTTGTCAAAAGCAATCTACAGATTCAATGCAATCCCATCAAAATCCCAACACAATTCTTCACAGACTTCAAAAGAACAACACTCAACTTCACATGGAAGAACAGAAAACACAATATAGCCAAAACAATCATGTACAAGAAAGAAACCTCCAAAGGCATCGACATACCTGACTTCAAACTCTACTATAGAGCCATAGTAATGAAAACAGCTTAGTATTGGCATTGCTCCTCAGTTGAAGAATGGATAAAGAAAATGTGGTATGTTTAAACAATGCAGTACTACTCAGCAGCAAAAAGCAATGACATCTTGAAATTTGTGTGCAAATAGATAGAACTAGAAAAAAGTATACCGAGAGTTAATGTAGACCCAGAAAACATGGTATGTACTCACTTATAAGTGGATATTAGACATAAAGCAAGGGATAAACAACCTATAGTTTACAGCCCTAGGGAAGCAAGGTAACAAGGTGACAACTAAGAGAGACATGCATAGATCCCCTGGAAAGGGAAATTAGATTAAATCTCCTGAGAAAATTGGAAGTGGGGGGAGGGAGAAAAGACTTGACTTCTCTGAAGTTTCTGTTACCATTGGTTATAAATGGCCAAATGATTTCCCATAGTAGTCCTTCCGTACCTTGAATCTGGAACAGCAAGCACAACAAAAATTGAGAGAGAGATAGAGTTGACAGAGAGCCTTCATGTCTGTTCTGTGACATGATAATGACTGACATTTAGAGAGAGTATGACTTGACAGTTCAGAGGTTCTGAGCAAGTGCAGTTCCCACGTGCTAATTATCACATCTCGGCCAGGGCACAGCACAGTGGCAGTGCTGTTTTATCTTAGTACCTGTGCTGTGCCAGTTACAGGTGCCTAAAGCCAGGCAAGAATATTGCAGATTATTTCTGCCAATGATAGTTTTTATTTAAAAAGTTATTTTGGCGCAGTTTTCAACATTGCAATGTATATAAACCCAGATATGAAGTTCTTTTTTTTCATTTTATTAATATTAGGTAGAACTCCATTGTTTAAAAAAGCCACAGTAAAGGTCTCTAGATGTCTGAGTTATTGTGGTCATTGTTGGACTCCTTGGTTAGTGATTTTCCTTCTATTATTTTCTGTAAGGCTGGATTCGTGGCTACGTATTGTTTAAATTTGTTTTTATCCTGGAAAATTTTGTTTTCTCCATTTATAGTGAACAAAAGCATGGCTGGATATAGTAGTCTGGGCTTGCATCCATGGTCTCTTAGTTTTTGGAGTACATCTATCCAGGACCTTCTGGCTTTCATGGTTTCCATAGAGAAGTCAGTTAGTTCCTTGGGCAGCTGAGGATAGGGAACCTGAAATGACCCTATCCTAGAGAAATACTGACGAATATCTTGCATATCATCATAGAACCTTCATCTGGTGATGGATGGAGATAGAGACAGAGACCCACACTGGAGCACTGGACTGAGCTCCCAAGGTCCCAATGAGGAGCAGAAGGAGGGAGAACATGAGCAAAGAAGTCGGGACCACGAGGGGTGCACCCACCCACTGAGACAGTGGAGCTGATCTATTGGGAGCTCACCAAGGCCAGCTGGACTGTGACCGAAAAAGCATGGGATAAAACTGGACTCTCTGAACATGGCGAACAATGAGGGCTGATGAGAAGCCAAGGACAATGGCACGGGGTTTTGATCCTACTTAATGTGCTGGCTTTGTGGGAGCCTAGCCAGTTTGGATGTTCACCTTCCTAGATATGGACGGAGGGGGGAGGACCTAGGACTTACCACAGGGCAGGGAACCCGGACTGCTCTGTGGACTGGAGAGGGAGGGGGTAGGAGTGGGGGGAGGGGGAGAAGGGTGGGAGGAGGGGGAGAAGGGTGGGAGGAGGGGGAGGGAAATGGGAGGCTGGGAGGAGGTGGAAACTTGTTTTTTGTTTTTGTTTTTTTTTTCTCCTTTTCTCAATAAAAAAAAAAGAATTTCATGCTCAATAAAAAAAAATTCATATTTCCAAAGAACAATACAAACTCACTCCTAAAAAAAAAAAGCCACAGTAAATACTAGAAAATGGCTTCACCTCTTCTTAATCATAAGTGTTAAATTTTTTCCTTTCTTTTCTTTTCTCTTCCTTCCTTCCTTCCTTTCTTTTTTTTTTTTTTTTTGAGTCACAGTTTCTCTGAGGCATGTTCATTGTTCTGAAACTCACTCTGCAGACCAGGCTGACCTCAAACTTGGGGATCCACGTGTTTCTACCTCCCAAGTGCTGGAATTAAAGGTATGCATCACCACATGACTAAGAGCTTTTTACTTAGAGCAAAGAGCACTTCTACAAGGAATTATTCCATTTGAAAAAAATATTAAAACACATTTATTGGAAAAACAAATAAATTTCAAATAATTTTTGATAAACTCTCACCACTATTATTTTGTATAATATACTGAAAATTTTTATGTCAATACAAAAATAGCATTACTCCTTTAAAATTATATTATTAAGGGATAAAGACATGACCCAGAAATTCAGAACACTTGTTGCTCTTATTTAGGACTCAGGGTGTTTTTTAGGAAAACAGGAAGCCGATAAGAAATATTTCTCAACATTACAGAAATCGTTATCAACACAGTTTTATCACAGGAGATTTAAGGGTCAAACTACTCAATAGATGTAACTTTGCTTAGAGGCTCAAATTAAGCCAGGCTTCACAGAAATATATGGGAATTACTCTCCATCAAATCAATGCATCAATAATGAGGAAAAGAAAAACAGAGAAAATTTTTGCTCACCAGTATTATATCTATAAATAAATATATATGCTTTTGCTTTAACTGGGGTTGCCCTAAATAAAAGACCACATGTGCTTATAAATGTAAAACAGCCTGACCAATATCTTGATATTTGCATACTTTATCATCAGAAACCACAAATTTCTCACAGTTTGTTTTAAAAAGAGGTACTCATGAGAAGAGCAATACGTAGCCTGAAACAGAGATTAGAAAACATGATGAATTATTGGGTGCACATTTTCAGCTTCCTGCTGATCAGTGTCACAGGTAAGACAGAGAAAGGTCAATTAGTTCAGAATCTAAAATTATTTTCCCTGGGAAAGTTTGAGTCTAAGATAAACCACTTTTATTTTGTTTCTTCTGAATATTGGGGGGTACAGAGTTAACTTTGTTTCAATTCCTCCTGATCACAGTGTCCAAAGGAGAAATTGTCCTCATCCAGTCTCCAGCTTACATGACTGCATCTAGTGGGGAAAAGGTCATCATCACCTGCAGAGCCAGCTCAAGTATAAACTCCAATTACTTGCACTGGTACCAGCAAAAGTCAGGAGCCTCCCCCAAACTCTTGATTTATAGCACATCCTACCTGGCTCCTGGAGTCCTAGATAGATTCAGTGGCAGTGGATCTGGGAACTCTTATTTTCTCACAATTAGCTGCATGCAGGATGAAGATGCTGCCACTTACTACTGTCAGCATGGGAGTAGTAGCCCACCCCACAGTGCTACAGACTGGAACAAAAACACTTTACTCTACTATGGCCCAGCTGCTTCCTCCTAGAGATAAAATCTGGCCAAGGGTTTGACTGATATGTGACAGTATTTCCTAAAGTGTTGTAAGGTGGTGTTAGTATTTTTTAGACATATATACATTTTCCTACTTTTAATGCTTCCAATTTCTAACATTTTAATATGAATCTGGTAGATTCTTTTATATCAGTAGGTTTTTTTTTGTTTGTTTGTTTGGGTAGGGATCAAGGGAGACAGATATGGTTATCTGTGGGATTATTTTTAAATTATAATTTGCAGCACTAGTACTTACAAGAATCCCAGAGGCATTGGCTTCTAGGGTTGTGAATCTCGTTCAGCTACTAGGATATGTGCCTTCTCAGACTTGTGAGTTTCCTAAGGCAGGTTTAGGGTAGGCATATCAGAGTGTATCCAACTGTGTGCCTATGTTGCTTCAGTGTTTCTTCATAGCTATGGAGAAGTTGAAATTCTCCAGTCTTGGGGTAGAATAACATTACAAATGAAAAGTGAGAAGCAGGGACATATGAACAGGCTATTTCTGTAGGTCATTGGTGGATATAGTGTTAAAGTAGCTCTGTGAAGTATTCGTTCCTGCGACTGAGAGCAAAGTATAGACAAGGTGACTTTATTACTTATTTTGTACAATACATTTTTCTCATGGATTTTCCTATACTAGTTCCTCTCAGGCCCTTCCCACCTATGTATCTTCTATGAGGAAGTGAAGTGGTGAGAGCTCAGATGCATCAGATTCTGAACTAGAAGCCAGTTAGTTTAGATTCACCAGCAAAAAGACTTCATTGTCTGTGGCATACGTGGGGATTGGGGTAGGCCTCACTCTTTCATTCATACAGCCACAGGAAATCCTCTTGTTTACAAGTTGATCTCAAGTGGTGACATGGAGTGGTCCACACAGAGGACATTCACTACTAATTTTCAATGCCATTTGCATTCTAGGATAACTTAGTGTCTCCATGACACCCCTCTCTGCTTCAGTGCTGCTCTTCAAGAATCTAGTTGGATAGCATTTGTTTATTCTGTAATTTGGCTCAGTTTGTTGGAGAAAAGTGTAGGTGGCACCTCTATCCAGCCATTTTATTGGAGGTTCAGGAGCCCTTTACACCTGGCTTATGCTTCTTTCACTCATCTCAGGATCTTCTCTGACTGCTTGTTCTCTGGGACAATCACTTATTGAAAGTAAACTGCCTCTATCATTCCACTAAAAGAAGCATCCATTGTCCTCTGTCTTCTCATTTTTATTAACAGACCATTTCTCTGAAATTGTCCTGCTAAGCAGTCAGAAAAATACTGAAATAAAGGAAATTATCAGAATTCTGGTCATATCTGCGCTGCTGGGTTAATAGAGACAATTGCAGACAGAATAACATTAGTAGAATTTCTCACCAAAGCTTCACAGTGACCTTTAAGACATAGCTCTATTTGAAAATACTATTATATTTTTGGATTGTAGCTGCTGGGGGGAAGCAGCTATTAAATCTCAGTCTCAATATTTCCTGTTCTGAATGTTTTACATTATGACTTGTATTGTTGTGGATGGTAACTCATAGTACTTTTGACGGTGACAAGTTGCAGTACCTTCAGACTCCTAGTTACATATAGTGAGTGAAATCTGTCCCTAAACCCCTACCACTGAGACTAGCCTGTGCCTCAGATAGTAAAGTGGATATGAATACAGTATAGGAGAAGTTTGGAAGCTTTCCACAGTTTGTGATGACACATGTCTAATCTATTACTAACACTTCAATGGTGACTTTGTCTCTAAGAGATGCAGAGAGTGAATATGGGGACTATGTTTCATGGTGATGACTAATGGAATTAAAATATTGACTGTTTAAAATGACTATAATTTTGGCAGTATATTTCTTTGTTGTATTTATGAATCAATTTCAGATTAGTGCAATAGCCAGCCTTAATATAAAGATGTTTCACTCTTCTTTGAATAGTAGTTAATACAGAGACTGGGTGGTCGTGCTGACTAAAACAAGTTAACTCTTGAGTGCCCAACCATAAGAGAATCACCATGTCACCCACTCTAAGGCATGGGGAGCCTGAAGGAAATGGTTTAAGAATGAATGTAAGAGCTAGAAAATGAAGACAAGCTATAGATATGCTTTCTCATATGACTGATGCACAGATGAAAACAAGAACACAACAGCTGCAATGATCTGCATGATGTCTGCACAGCAATGGGCTCACCAACATTCAGTCATAGATTGGATGGAAACCTCATGTTACTTCAGAGCTACTGAGGAAGGCGAAGAAATTACCTTCAGGGATGTAGCCATCCTTGAAGTACTCATACAATGGTGGAGAGCTTCATAATCATGCGGGTGTTTGTGGCCCTTGTTAAATATAGTGGGTAACAAGGAAAAAGCAAACCACAAAATCATGAACAGATGGGAATCTAGTGGCAAGAGAAGGTGGTATTGGAGTTGGAGAAAGAGAGTAAATGAGAGTGGAGAGACAAATGCAACCAATACTTATTATATAGATTTATGAAATTTGTGAAGGTTGCATTAACTAAAAATACATTTTAAAATAAACTCCCAATAAAAACAATATAAAAGTATATGGAGAGCCTGGAAGTCGGGGTGTAGACTTTTAACCCCAACATTCAGAAGGCAGAGGCAGGCAGATCTTTGTGAGTTAGAGGCCAACTTGGTCTACAAGAGCTATTTCCAGGACTCCAAAGTTACAGAGAAATCCTTTCTCAAAACCCCTCCCAAAAAAAGAAGATGGAGAAGGAACTAAAATATAAGTATTATGATTACTTTTGAGGTAAATGTCACTTTAAACTGATTTTTAATCTTATGTAAATCATTGAAGTTATTACTAAAATATATCATTTTTTAATTTTTTTCTAAAATATATTCTTATTATTTGGGATGAGAACAACTGTTGAGGAGAAATATTCACCAAGATCACCAGGGAGATGCATGTGCTCAAAGAAGCAAGATTCACCAGGTAAGTTACTACAGGAAGGTGAAAGTCCCTGCCAAGATATGGGATTTGCTCATAGGTCCGTGGCCAGAATTCTACAGCCTCTATCAGATGTACCCTGTGAGACAAACATGTTCTTGTTTTTACAGAAACTACATTCCTTACCACCAAATATCTCGCCTCCACCAAAGTTACTGCTTTAGCACTCCCACTCCTCACATGTAAAACTATTCCTGCTCGAAATGACTATACTGGCTTCTCTATTTTCACAGGAGGTCAAATAATGCTTGGCCATGTGACCCACATCCTAGTCTGTTATTATGCTGGAGAGTCATTATCATGTCTTTGTTTTGAGCTCAGCAGAAAGAAAATTAAGCAACAGCTGAAATTCCCTGACTCCATTTCCCATAATATCCCAGTGACCTTCAAATCCTGACTGCAGCTGAGAAACGTCAGCAGGCAGGAAGATGAAAAGCAGCACACGAGGCCTCCTACTTTCTCGTTTCTGATTCCCTGGTGTGTGTGGGGTTATATTATGGCTTGTAACATTGTAAGAGGGTTACTATAATACTGTCCATGTTAATAAATGGCAGCATCTTCAGACTTGAGGCTGCTGCTCATGAGTGTGAATTGTATCCCAGATACAGTGCTATTGAAACTTGATGGGCCCCCAGATTGCACACTGGATGAACTATATATAAGTTCTAGCAATTTTCCATATTTCTACTGGTCCCTGAATAAACAGTTATGGATACTCTCACTTGCCCTTCAATTGGTGGTTCATCTGTCTCCTTGAGAATCACGAAGGAAAGAATTATACTGTGTTATCTGGATGTCATATTTCATATATAGATGAAAAGCTTCCAACAAATATAGTAAACTAATCAAGTTACAAGAAGACTCTGATAAAGAGCACAATGAGATATAAAATTGTTGATATTGCCCTTCCTTTCCTGGGAACAGAGCAGCAACAACAGCCTAGGTGATCCTACTGAGACCTGCTATTAGTGTATGACTAGTCTATTAAGAAGTCTCCTGGGTCGTAGATAATGCTCTATGTTAACATGGATGGTCAGTTTGAGGATTAGTTGGGCTCAACTCAGGATTCAAGGAAGATCACCTGAGAAATCTCTGGCAGGAATAGATGGCCCAGATGTTTAAGTTCTACATCCAGAACAGATTCAAGACTGCTGCCTGAGATGATCAAGACTCACAGGATACTCCAGTCAGGACTTGATGACAATTCTAAACTTTCTTTAGGTCCCCAAAAGATTATCAGTGCCCCCAACCAGCAGGAAGTAGCCTGGAATACTATGCCCACATTTCCAAAAAGTGGACTATGGGTATTTTCCTTTGTTTTTTTAAAATAGAGGGGGAAGTGGTGCAGGAGAATTGTCTGTATTCTGTCAATAATGTTTTAAATAAACGAAGATTGGCTAGGCAGGAAGTATAGGTGGGAAAACCAGACAGGAAGTAAAAATGATGCAAGGAGAACGAGAGAATTCTGGGAAGGAGGAAGTTGATTCCTCACTCTTCTGCCCAGACTCTGAAGAAGCAAGATGTGAACTGCCCTGCTGAGAAAGGTACTGAACCATGTGGCTAGCATAGATAAAAACAATGGTTTAATATAATCTACAAGAGCTAATAAGTAGCCTGACCTAATGGGCCAATCAGCTTTATAACTTATGGAGATCTCTGTGTGATTTTCTTTGGGGCTTGCCAGCTGTGGGGTACCGGGTGGGACAGAAACCCCAACAAGCAGCCAGGCCTTAATGTTACAATATATAGCTGCATTTTTTATACCCTAGAACTGAACAGTTCCTTGGTTTGGGAATGTCAATATTCTACCTTTCTTTCTAACATTTAGTAGTAGTAGTAGTATTTTATATGGTTTATTAGTACAGAGCATGATAGCTGTATAAAGACCCAAAGCTTCAATAAAAATCTTTCAAGGCAAATGAAAGTCATGGATCAGATTATCTTAGCTGGAATACTGGAGGAACTCAGTCTTCTGACTCTTTGATGTTAACTAAGTGATAATTCTGATCTGAGGAAACCTAATATATTCAATGTGGATGTTTTGAAGTCAGTGATGTTAGATATATTAGGCAGAGTAGTAAAGAGGGGTTCATACAAGCAACAAAGATTTTACCTTCCAGAAATGGTGTGTCTCCTCTGTACTCAGATAAGATTGCTTCTTGCTTCCACTTGGTGTATTTTTGAAAAGAGAAACAGAATATTTTACTGAATAAAAATATATAATAAACAGTTTCTCTTAGCTGAGCATTCTCTAAGTAATTTATAACCTGGTGAGCTCCTCTGACATCTGCATTTGAAAGTTTCTCAGGGTCAGTTCTCATAATCTCAGTGGAGCAGAGGAGGGGTGCCTTAGCAATGTTTGTTAATTCATTTTTTGTTGAGAGGGCAGATAAGATTGTCAAAATAGCATATTTCAGGGAATGATTGAGTCAGAAGGAAGGAAAAGGTCACAATAAAGCAAAGTTCAGCCCAAACCACTGTCTGTTCTGTGATGATCATGTAGAAAGAATGTATTGCAGGTCTTAAAGATCTGCCTTGCCATTATTGCCCATGTGACTTTTTGCAAGTTGTCTGCGTGTTTTGAGGACTGGATACATTCTCTCTGATATGCAGATTAAAGATATTAATGATCCCCAATGAATCATGATATTTTAATTACAAATGATGTCACATATTTTTCTATTTTATATACCTTTTGATATTTTTGAGCTACAATGCTATAATATTAGCCACAAGTCATATTCAAAAGTCATCTGTTTTCTTTTTATAATTCCCATGTGTTCTATGCTTTCATTATAGAATTTAAACATTTTCTTTCTCCCTCATAAAAACCTTTCATCTCTTCAAATATAGTTTGGAAAGTTGAGTAAAAGAAACAGGCAGATCTGAGTTATCAGGTTTTCAAATGAAAATTCCAGTAATCCTTAGCTGGACTTCATCATGGAAAATATTAATTCCACAAAATGAAGAATAGAACCTGTCATTCCATATAGATCAAACTGAGCTTAGCTATGAAAAAAGCCTATGAAAATAATTTTTTTTCCAAAAAATGAACAATATGATAGAGAATAAAAAATCTGAGATCTTTGGGACTTTACTAAATTAAATACTACAAGGAAGTGAAAGTTCACACGTGTTTTTGAGCCAAGAACTTCCTTGCCTAAACCCTGATGTTTGCATATTTACTCCTCAGCAACCACAGGTTCCTCATACTTGCTTTTAAGAGAATAAACATAGAAAAAAGAAGTTTATAGTTAGAGACAGAGAATAGTAAACAAGATGGGTTTGCTGGTACAAACTCTCAACCTGCTACTACTCAGTGTAGAGGGTGAGAAAGAAGAGAGACTTGAACACAGCATCCTTTTCCTACTGTAAGTTTTAATTTAAAAGATTTTTTTCTTCCTTCCTCCCTCCTCTCTCTCTCTCTCTCTCTCTCTCTCTCTCTCTCTCTCTGTCTCTCTTTCTATCTCCCTCCTCTACTTCTTTTTTTTTGGCACAGTATGTGGTTTGAATGCTAGAATTTTTATTACTAACTCCTATCTCTTTTTATTTTCACCCCTCCCATAACTTTGAATGGAGAAATTGTTCTCACCAAATTTCCAGAATCACTGTCTGTTTCTCAAGGAAAGAAAGTTACAAAAAACAGCTTACGTGTTATTAAGTGTCATCTCTGATAACTTCCAGGAGTTGCATCCAAAGCTGGGACCCACTCATAAGCTCTTGATTTGTAGCATATCCAACCTTTTTTTTTTTTTTTTTTGAATCTTAGATCTTCTCAGTGGCAGTGGTTCTGGGCCATCTTACTCTTTCACACTCAGAAGCAGGGCAGCTAAAGATACTGCCATTACCTAACAGCCACAGAACAGTTCTCCCATTCACACATTTCTCCAGTACCTTTCAAATTCTCAGAAACCATCTGATTTCCCCCTCAGATAGATAATCAAGCCGGTCAAGAGTTTCACTAATAGGTAACAGAATATACCAATATTTCTAGAATATTTCTAGCTCCCCTCAAGGGAGCTAAGCAGCTCCTTCTTAAAAGAACAAGAGAAAATGTATAGATGGAGATAATAAAATAAGACAGTGAGAGAGGCCATCTTTGTGGCATTCTGTACACAGGAACATGTGACAGCAGAGATTCAGATTTTCTGAACTTCACAGTTATTCTGTAAAAGATGTCATTGGGCTTTTGAGAATATATCCATGGACTTAGAAATTCATATATTCTTCCCTAATTTAGGGAAGAATAACAACTCTCTATCAGAATAGATCTTCATCAGAGACATTCTGTGTTTCAAGGGGGAAGATGTAAACAATGCAATCACAGTTTTTTCTAAGAATTCTTCCTGAGGTGGGCAATATGGATAAAAATATCTAACAGCAAAAGCACAGTTTTCTATGACTTCTTCCTAAGGTGGGCAATATATACAAAAATATCTTAATGAATTTTTGTGGAACATGAAGCATAGTGGAAATGGGTGTTCTTAAAAAACAAACACAAGTACAAGAATGTAAAAGTTTAAAAGTATGACATGTAGTCTTCATTCTATTACCTAATTTTTAGTTTGAGAACTTTAAATTTTAGAGTTTGGTAATGGTAATGGACACACACACACACACACACACACAAAATAAGCTTCTTGGAATAAACAACCTCTACAGCTACCCATGAAAGGACCCATAAACACGTATGTACTGTCTAAAACTTATATATCTGACAGCCCCTGACACGGAAGGAAGCACAACAAGGAAATTCTACATTAAATATGATACAAATATCATTAAATATGATACAAATAAGTTGCAACTTATAGATGGATGCAGTTCTGTGGTCAACAAAGATGAGCATGTTTCCTAAACTAAACGTGTACTGCCTCCCTCCATCCGAGACTTAAGATAGCCCTGGGCTTTTAAAATCACTGAATTTTCCAGTCCTGTGGCTGTGGCCAATCATTGCTGATTTGCATGTTTCCAGAGCACAGCCCACTGCATTGAGGACTTCTTCATAGTCAGCTCACACCTTGTGCTAGAGTCACCCTAGTACCGGTTGCGGCACAGACATGAGGGCACACATTCAGCACCTGGGGTTGTTGCTGCTCTGGCTTACAGGTAAGAAGAGAGCATTGGAAATGTGTTCACCTGGTTGTGGTCAGCACTTCCTGGTCTTTTGGAAAGTTTCCCTTTAATTAGATTAATTATTTGAAATTTGTTTTTAATTTTCCAATATCAGGTGCCAAATGTGACATTCAGATGACCCAGTCTCCTGCTTCCCTGTCTGCATCTCTGGGAGACAGTGTCACCATCACATGCAGGGCAAGTGAGAACATTTACACTAATTTAGCATGGTATCAACAGAAACCAGGGAAATCTCCTAACCTTCTGATCTATAATGCAAAGAGCTTGGCAGCTGGGGTCCCATCGAGGTTTAGTGGGAGTGGATCTGGTACACAGTATTCTCTCAAAATCAGCAGCCTGCAGGCTGAAGATATTGCAATATATTATTGTCAACATTATTATGGTATCCCTCCCACAGTGACTCAAGCCATGACATAAACCACTAAGAGAAGCAGAAGTGAGAGCCCAGGCTTTGGCAGTTGCTGCTTCTGGTGTCTCCACATTGTTGAGATTGTCTCCTATGTCAGAATTTAAGGGTCAAAGTAATGTTTTAGCAGTAATATAATTATTGGCAATAACTGATATTGATACAACAGAAATGTCAACACACACAGAGAGAGGAGAGAGAGAGAGGAGAGAGAAAGAGAGAGAGAGAGAGACTTACACAAGTGCACCAAGTTACAGACAGGGACTAGAAAATTATTAGCTATAGCATTAAAATTTTGTGAAAGCAGTCTTCTAACACAGCAATAAGGTCATTCAAACACATGGCTTAATAGTAGCCTCTAGCATGGGCAGAGCTCTGGTTAAGAGTTTTGGTTTCTCTTTCAGAAGACTTTTGTTTGGGTCCCAAAAACCACTTTACTGCTAGGAACTATTGATAAATCAAGGTCTAGGGTGTCTGAACCTCTCTCATGTCTCTGAGAACTTTGCATTCATATGGTACACATAATGGAAGCCAGGAAAAGAATAGATATATAAAAATAAGTCTTAAATATTTGAAAATCCTAAGGGAGTAGTACTCAGAAAACTGATACTGGAAACATATTTTTCTCAGACTCTAGAGTCCATTTTTTTTTAAAATAAAATAAGGCTTCTTGCCTACAAGTACTTAGATATGTGTCATATCATATGCATGGAGGGGAGGTTTTCCTCCATTAACTACTTATTTCTCTCTTTACTAGGAGGTCAAGTGTTTAATTGTGTTTATACTGCAGTGAAAAAAATAATGACTTGGCAATTTATAAAAGAAAGTATCAAGTTTTAGTTGCTGAGGAATTCCATCAGGACGGGTGAGTGTTTGCTATCCAGGGACGGACTGTCCCGGAAGAGAGCACAATTCCCCCTCCCCCAGCTCCTTCTGCAGGGCTGTCTTTCTTTCCCACGACCCAGCCCCCCAGCCCCCCTCCCCAACCCTGCCCTGCTGTATGCTAGGACCAGTGCTCAAGAACAGTTTTAAGCTCCTACACTAAGGCTACCCACCCAGAGCGGTGAGTGCCTGCCTACCGGGCAGGCCTCAGGGTCCCCTGTAAGGGAGCCCACGCACCTTTAGCTCCTGCGCCAGGCTTCCGGTACTCTTCTGGATATCGCCCTCCCCTTCCTTGCTCCTTTCATCCTTTTGCCCCCGGATCATTGGGCTACCTAGGGGCGCTGTTTAGTTGCTGAGGAATCCCATCTGGACGGGAACGGTTCCTGCTTCTACACTGAAGAGATACACCCAGAGAGTCAATCACAGGAGAGACTGGACCAAGACACCAGGCCTCTCCTGGCTCCATTTGAAGGAAGAGATGGGAAGGCGCCAAGGCAAGAATTCCTCCTACAATCTGAAAGGCAACATGATACCACCAGAATCCAGGGATCCCGAAATAAGAAGAATTGTACACCCTACTCCAGAAGAATTAGAAGAAATCGACTCAAAAGTGAACTATATGAAAATAATAGAGGACCTTAAACAGGAGGTGAAAAACTGCCATAAACAATTAGAGATTACAAAAAAAAAGTAGAGGAAATGAATAAATCGCTCAAAGACACGCAAGAAAACCAAGAGAAACAAGAAAAAGCAATCAAACAGGTTAGGGAAGCAGTTCAAGACGTGAAGAATGAGATGGAAGCAATGAAGAAAACACAAACCGAGGGAAGAATGGAGAAGGAAAATCTGGGTAAACGATCAGGAACTACAGAGACAAGTACTAACAACAGATTACAAGAGATAGAAGAAAGAATGTCAGACACTGAAGATACCATAGAGAAAATAAACACACTGATCAAAGAAAACAGCAAAACCAACAAATCCTCATCACAAAACATTCAGGAAATCTGGGACACAATAAAAAGACCAAACCTAAGAATAATTGAGATAGAAGAAGGAGAAGAAGTACAGCTCAATGGTCCAGAAAATATATTTAATAAAATTATAGAAGAAAACTTTCCCAACCTAAAGAAAGATATTCCTTTGAAGGTTCAAGAAGCATACAGAACACCGAATAGACTGGACCAAAAAAAAAAATCACCTCACCATATATTAATCAAAACACAAAATATACAGAATAAAGAAAGAATATTATGAGCCGCAAAGGAAAAAGGCCAAGTTACTTATAAAGGTAAACCTATCAGACTTACACCTGACTTCTCTATGGAAACCATGAAAGTCAGAAGGTCTTGGATAGATGTACTGCAATAACTAAGAGACCATGGATGTAATCCCAGACTACTATATCCAGCCATGCTTTTGTTCACTATAAATGGAGAAAACAAAATTTTTATGGATAAAAACAAATCTAAACAATACGTAGCCACAAATCCAGCCTTACAGAAAATAATAGAAGGAAAATCACTAACCAAGGAGTCCAACAATGACCACAATAACTCAGATATCTAGAGACCCTTCACCAGCGCAACTCAAAGAAGGGAAACACACAAACCCTACTACTAAAAAAGTGACCGGAGTTAACAACCACTGGTCATTAATAACACTTAATGTCAATGAGCTCAACTCACCTATAAAAAGGCACAGGCTAAGAGATTGGATATGAAAACAGGATCCAACATTCTGCTGTCTACAAGAAACACACCTCAATCACAAAGACAGGCACCTACTCAGAGTAAAGGGCTGGGAAAAGGCTTATCAAGCAAATGGACCTAAGAAACAAGCAGGTGTGGCCATACTAATTTCTAACAAAGTTGACTTCAAACTTAAATCAATCAGAAGAGATGGAGAGGGACATTTTATACTCATAACAGGAACAATTCATCAGGAAGAAGTCTCAATCCTGAATATCTATGCCCCTAATATAAAAGCACGCACGTACGTAAAAGAAACATTACTAAAACTCAAGGCAGCCATCAAACCGCACACACTAATTGTAGGAGACTTCAACACTCTTCTCTCACCAATGGACAGGTCAATCAGACAGAAACCTAACAGAGAAATTAGAGAATTAATGGAGGTAATGAAGCAAATGGACTTAACAGACATCTATAGATTATTCCACCCAAGGAGAAAAGAATATACCTTCTTCTCTGCAGCTCATGGAACCTTCTCGAAAATTGACCACATACTCGGCAACAAAGATAACTTACACAGTTACAAAAACATATTAGTAACCACCTGTTTCTTATCAGATCACCATGGATTAAAGTTAGAATTCAACAACAATGCTACCCCCAGAAAGCCTACAAACTCATGGAAACTGAACAGTCAACTACTGAACCATACCTGGATTAAGGAAGAAATAAAGAAAGAAATTAAAGTCTTCCTTGAATTCAATGAAAATAAAGAAACAACATACTCGAACTTATGGGACACTATGAAAGCAGTGCTAAGAGGAAAGTTCATAGCACTAAGTGCCCACTTAAAGAAAACAGAGAAAGCACATATTGGAGACTTAACATCCCACCTGAAAGCTCTAGAAGTAAGAGAAGCAGACTCACCTAGGAGGAGTAGAAGACTGGAAATAATCAAACTGAGAGCTGAAATCAACAAAATAGAAACACAGAAAACAATCCAAAGAATCAATGAAACAAAAAGCTGGTTCCTGGAGAAAATCAACAAGATTGATAAACCCCTATCCAAACTAATCAAACGACAGAGAGAAAATACGCAAATTAATAAGATCAGAAATGAAAACAGGGACATAACCACAGACACAGAGGAAATTCAGAGAATCATTAGATCTTACTACAAAAACCTGTATGCCACAAAACTGGAAAATGTAAAAGAAATGGACACTTTTTTAGATAAATACCATTTATCAAAATTAAACCAGGACCAGGTGAACAATCTAAACAGACCTGTCAGTCGCCAAGAATTAGAAGCTGTTAGCAAAAACCTCCCTAACAAAAAAAGCCCAGGACCAGATGGTTTCAATGCGGAATTCTACCAGAACTTCCAAGAAGACCTAATACCTATACTCCTTAATGTATTCCACAATATAGAAACAGAAGGGTCATTACCAAATTCCTTTTATGAAGCTACAGTTACTCTGATACCAAAACCACACAAAGACTCAACCAGGAAAGAGAATTACAGGCCAATCTCACTCATGAATATCGACGCAAAAATCCTAAACAAAATACTGTCAAACCGAATCCAAGAACACATTAGAAAAATTATCCATTATGATCAAGTAGGCTTCATCCCAGAGATGCAGGGCTGGTTCAACATACGAAAATCTATCAATGTAACCCAGCATATAAATAAACTGAAAGAAAAAAACCATATGATTATTTCATTAGATGCTGAAAAAGCATTTGACAAAATTCAACATCCATTTATGTTAAAATATTGGAGAGATTAGGGATACAAGGGTCATACCTAAATATAATAAAAGCTATATACAGCAAGCCGACAACTAACATCAAATTAAACGGAGAGAAACTCAAAGCCATCCCGCTTAACTCAGGAACACGGCAAGGCTGTCCACTCTCGCCATACCTCTTCAATATAGTGCTTGAAGTTCTAGCAATAGCAATAAGACAACATAATGGGATCAAGGGGATTCGAATTGGAAAGGAAGAAGTGAAACTTTCGTTATTTGTAGATGATATGATAGTGTACATAAGCGACCCCCAAAACTCCACCAAAGAACTTTTATAGCTGATAAACACCTTTAGTAATGTGGCAGGATACAAGATCAACTCCAAAAACTCAGTTACCCTCTTATACACAAAGGATATGGAAGCAGAGAGGGAAATCAGAGAAGCTTCACCTTTCACGATAGCCACAAACAGCATAAAATATCTTGGGGTAAATCTAACCAAGGAAGTGAAAGATCTATTTGACAAGAACTTTAAGGCATTGAAGAAAGAAATTGAAGAGGATACCAAAAAATGGATGGAACTCCCTTGCTCTTGGATTGGGAGGATCAACATAGTAAAAATGGCAATTTTACCAGATGCAAATTTTGTTTCAATGCAATCCCAATCAAGATCCCATGAAA